CAACAACTTACTTAAACTGATCAAACTTCACTTTTGGGACATCTTTAAATCTAAAAAGATGTTTGTTTGTTTTTTGATAATTTTTTAGGGTTAGAGTCTGTAGTATTTAGTTTTAACCAGTAGATGTCTATGGGATGTCATCACACACATTAAGACATAAGATGATTTCATGAGCATGTTCTGATATAGGATCTGGATTGTGTGTGTGATTGTGTTACAGTGAGCTGGTGCACCTGGTCACACACCTGTGTGAGACTCTGAATGCTGGGAAGTTGACCTGTGTCCTGGTCATCCCTCCTTCAGTCGCGCCGGGGTAAATAACAAGTCTTTTTCTCCTTCCATCCCAGCATTGGTTGTGCATTGAGTTTGATCTGTTGTTGTTTGTGTCGTGTTCAGCTCAGGTCAGCCCGGCATGTTCGGCCGGGAGGATTTTGAGAAACTGGCACCTGTGGTGGACGCCTTCAGTCTGATGACGTACGATTATTCGGGACCTGGCAGGTCAGACACACAAACAGGGATTTTGATGTCAGCTTTACTTTCATTTTTGACTGGATTTCTGTGTCAAAAGCATGCAGAAACATTTTATTATGTTTATAAACTTTATCAAATAAAATAAAAACTTTTGGTGATACTGATAAATATTGTTTTTGTTATGATATGGTTTATGTATTTGTACAGAAACTACAGAAAAATTTAGTTTTTTATATTTTTTAGATATTTTCTTGTTATAAGTGCAAAGACTTAATTTTAATTTTTTCTGAAAACAAGGCTTGTTATATATTTTGCTTCAAGTAAATGTATCTTGATTTGAGAATGTTGACATTTTACATAAATACAGAGTAAGAGAATTTCTTTCTTTTTTTCAGTTTTCAATATGATAGGATATGAATAATATCAGCTGATATCCTAAAGTTTCCTTTAACAGATATTGTATTAATCTGTATGATTATATTTTAAATGGTGATACATTTAAATACATACATTTTAATGTCAACTAATTTCATTTCAGCATTTTTGTAAACACTAAACATGCGTCTTGCAGCAGACTTCCGGTTTCATCATTGACTGTTGATAAACCACATGGTCCAGGCATCACGAGTTCTTCTGAAGCATTAACATGGGCTGTGTTTCAGGCCGGGTCCGAGCTCTCCGCTGCCCTGGGTCAGAGAGTGTGTGCTTCAGCTCGCCCCTCACAACCAGTGGAGACACAAGATCCTGCTGGGGATCAACATGTATGGCCTGGACTTCAGCAGCCACGGCGGAGCGGAGCCACTGCTGGGCGGGAGGTACACGCTTCGTCACCCGCTTATCTGAATCATGGCTGTCACAATAATTATGAGTTTAGATTTCGCAATTCTAAAACTTCGGCTATTCCTAGTTTATATCTCACAATTCAGATTTTTCCGCAATTCCAAGTTTATCCCACAATTTTTACTTGTTTGCAATTCTGACTTTATATCTAGCAATTCTGATTTTTTCGCAATTATGAGTTTATATCTAGCAATTCTGATTTTTTCGCAATTATGAGTTTATATCTCACAATTCAGATTTTTTGTCGCAATTATGAGTTTATATCTCGCAATTCTGATTTTTTTTCACGCAATTATGAGTTTATATCTCGCAATTCAGATTTTTTTTCACGCAATTAAGTTTATATCTAGCAATTCTGATTTTTTTTTCACGCAATTGAGTAGAATTTTTTTCACGCAATTATGAGTTTATATCTCGCAATTCAGATTTTTTTTCACGCAATTATGAGTTTATATCTCGCAATTCAGATTTTTTTTCACGCAATTATGAGTTTATATCTCGCAATTCAGATTTTTTTTCACGCAATTATGAGTTTATATCTCGCAATTCAGATTTTTTTTCACGCAATTATGAGTTTATATCTCGCAATTCAGATTTTTTTTCACGCAATTATGAGTTTATATCTCGCAATTCAGATTTTTCCCCACGCAATTATGAGTTTATATCTCGCAATTCAGATTTTTCCCCACGCAATTATGAGTTTATATCTCGCAATTCAGATTTTTCCCCACGCAATTATGAGTTTATATCTCGCAATTCAGATTTTTTCACAATTCTGGGTTTATATCAAATTTTTTCCCTGAATTCTGAAATATAAACTCACAATTGCACATTCTAAAGTCTTATTTGCGAGAAAAACAGAAATCTGAGATAAAAAGTCGCAATTACCTTTTTTTATTTTAAATTCTCAATTCTCTAGGGGTGGAACGGTACACAGAAGTCACGGTTCGGTTCATACTTCGGTTCAGACGTCACGGTTCGGTACGATTTCGGTACAATGGAGTGAATAGCAAAACAAAAATGCAGAAGGCTTTTTTATAAATGTCTTAAGCCTTGTATTTTTTATATACGTTTTATTAATAAAGGCATAGAACCAGTTTATTTGTAGTGCACCGACAGTAGTTTTATATAATTAGTTTATTAATTAAATTATTAAAAAGACGAAAAGACCATGAGATATGTTTGGTAATTGTACCTGAATGAATTTAAAATTAATTTGCTATTTCAGATCAATATATTTGTTTTCCTTCATTTTAATTAACCCTAACTTTATTCTCATCTGAATGATAAATAATTGATTTCCGTATAAAATAATACTACCATTAAAAACTTTTGTTAACAGTTGTAGGTTACAGTTTGACATGAGTTTAGAGTGTGACAAAAGTACAATGTTGTGTTTTATTGCGAGTGTACACAAATATAAGTAAACAATTTGCCGTTTTAATGATGTCCTGTATGAAAAAAATGACGGAGTATGTTTTTATGTTTCCACTGTTCGATCGCCCGTGCCTCTCTCACACACACACACACTATTCGATCGCGCGATTTGCGCCCGTGCCTCTCTCTCTCGCACGCGCACGCACAAACACACACACACTCTGTTCGATCGCGCGATTCGCGCTCGCGCCCGCGCCTCCCTCTCTCTCTCTCTCTCTCTCTCTCTCTCTCTCTCTCTCTCTCTCTCTCTCTCTCTCTCTCTCTCTCTCTCTCTCTCTCTCTCTCTCTCTCTCTCTCTCTCTCTCTCTCTCTCTCTGTCTCTCTCGCACACACACACACACACACACACACACTGTTCGATCGCGCAATTCGCACCCGCGCCTCTCTCTGTCTCTCTCTCGCACACACACACACACACACTCCAGCATTGCAATCTTGATCGCAGCCTGTTCATTGCTGCGTTCACAGTCACACCAAAAGCGAATAGAGCGAAATTTATCGCTATTTAAGAGGTTTTTTTTTATTTGTACCGTGTATTCTCCGTGCAAATTCGTGCACCGAACCGTGACGCCCGTACCGTTTCGGTTCAATACGAATACATGTACCGTTCCACCCCTACAATTCTCGGAAACAAGCTTTCATAAAATTTCCATGAAACTGAAAGATTTTTGTGATAGTTTTTACTACTACTACTACTATTAGTCAGTTATTCTCATTTTGTTGTTGAATGGACAATTTAAATTTATTTTAAAAAAATACTTATAAAGATGACTAAGAGTTCTTAATTATCATTGACAAAGTTCATATATAATCTTAATTTTCAAACAGGTATGTTGAACTGCTGAAGGAAGTGAAACCCAAACTGCAATGGGATGAAAACACTGGAGAACATTTCTTCAATTATAAAAGGTTAAACACTCGTATACAAACGTATCCTGATGCATTTGGCTCACAAAGCTTTCTCAAAGCTTGTAATCTGATTAAACACAATAAGATGCTAAGCATAGAATTCTGATTGTCAAAATCTTTTCCTGTTTAAATAAAGAAAGAAAGAAAAGATGCTTATTGTTATGATTCACATTTTTTGGTTGCAGTAAAATAAAACATTTAGATATTATTACATTTAACAAGTCTTATTATATTTATTATAACAAGTCTTTCTTTTGTTTCAGGAATAACGGATTGAAGCATGTTGTTTACTATCCCACTTTAAAGGTAACTGTAATATTAGTGCCATAATAGTACAAAATATTAAAGTGAATTGTGGGTATTATTCAGTTCTGGCTCTTTTTCTGCTCTAGTTTCTCCAGCTTCGTATCGCTTTGGCAACTGAACTGGGAACAGGAATTTCCATGTGGGAATTGGGACAAGGACTGGACTATTTCTATGAGCTTTTGTGACCTGTGATCTGACTTACATCTGTTCGATCTACTTCCAAATAATAAAGTGTGATTTATCAAAGCACTTCATGATATTTATGACAATACTGTTGCTGAGCATGCCAATAAAATTATTTTTTAATTATGTGTTATCAAGTGCATTCTTAACAGAGAACCAGCATTTTAATGCAATTTATTTTATTCAGGAATACAATTTTTATTAATTCATTGGTACAGTTTTGTTTTTTCATACTGCATTGTTAGTAATACTGCACATTATGTGATTCCTTTTGTGGAGCAAATCAAAACATTACAGCAGTTAAAAAGACAAAGTAAAACAGTTCTATCAACGAATCAAACATTCTTGATTCGTTGTTTCTCTTCACACATCATAGATCTGCATACGTGATATGAAAAACCACGGTATTTCCTGTGTTAAACCATCTTACACTTTAAAGGAATGTTGAAAACAAGTCGAGCTTTACCAACAACACACTGTCAATAAACAAAATAATATAATTAATAATCACGTTTACACTAAGAATTGATGACTGTTGCATTTTAAAAGCTGAAATGAGGAGCTTTTAATTTAGTACTGTTCCAGACGGGGGAAAAGTAGCCTAATTTAAAATAAAGCCTTTTATTACAGTGTAATGCTTTGATATCCATTTACAGAACATGTCTAAATCTATAAATCATCTTGTGCTCCTTTCAAGCATTCAAATGAAACATTCATATTTTGTAGACAGAACATGTCCTTAAATTTAATTTTAAGTCAGAAATTTCTAAACATTTGGTGTGAGAAATGCATTTGGAGTGAAGAATGTTTGTGGATACATGTGCTTTCGATAGTATAAAACATCTGGTTCAGATTTCGTGAAGTTGGCTCTTGTGAATTCGTTGTCTTCTGAACAGCTGAAGGTTTATCTGCAATTGCACAGAAGAATCAGGTTGTTGACGGCCGCTGATGTGGACTGCGTGTTCTGCCCAGTCACAAGATGGCGGTCCAGGACCACATGAACTGCGTCCTCGATGCTCGCTGTGAGGGACAGAATTAATTTATGCTTCACATAAACACCAGTAGCATGTGGTAAAAGGGATAGAGTACACCCAAAATGCTATTCTGTCATCATCTACTACTAGGCAAGGGAACACTATTAATAGGGCTGGGTTGACGAAATCCATTTCGGGATTTTAATCATTGTCATCTTGATGAACCGATGTCTAAACTGTTTTCAGTTTATTATGCCTGAACAAAACCTCACTAAATATTATTTGTAGCGTCCCACGAATCCAATAAATAGCTATTTTGTTACCAGGGATTAAAGTGAAAAAAATTCTTCTGACTGAAATTTTTTTCAGGCCAAGTCATATTCCTGTAACTTTATTTAAATAGTCGAGACCAATAGCGTTTTAAGGGAAGATGTTTAAAACCGATCTAATATTGAGTAATTTAAAAGCTATTTTAATCTATGAAAAACAATTACTTATCTTGACAAATAATCAACCATCTACATAACTTTTCAGTGCATGTTTTTATTTATCTTATGAGACCAAACAATGCTAAACTATATTAATATATAGTTTGTGCCATGGCAAATTGTTTTGGCTGAGGGCAAAGTGAAGTTTTATAACTTTATTATGTAGGCTATATTTAACTTTAACTTTGTAGCCTATTACAGAGCTGACTTATGTTTAATTGAATTGTTTGCTTTATTTCTCATTGTATAGCTTATTATAGCCTACCTATTAGGCTACTACTTTTGAACGGGATATTAGCATTAAAACTGACATTTAACAAAAAAGAGACATGGTTGTGTAATTTTATATATTCTAAAATATATAAAATATTATATTACTATGCATTCTCTTCACTGTATGTGTACGCATAATACAATAAAACGATACAACCCTGTCTGTTTGTTAAATGTCAGTTTTAATGATAAATAATGTTTCATATTTTTAAAATGAAAACAAAAAGAAGCAGGTTTGTGTTTTAGCTATATTTCGTGTTGTTATAACTATATGATAAATCAATGTGCGTTGCCTGAACCACATTTGTGTGGCCATTTATATGTTTATGATAATAATTATGTTCATTTATAAAAGAAAAGAGGCACAGTGGTGTTGATGAAAAAAGGCAGAGTTGATAACCGGAGTAGCCGCGTGCTGAGTGACGCGATCAAGAACGCGCTGTTAGCAGCGTCCTCTCGTCCTCGGGAGTTTGTTCTCCTGAGTCGAACTTGGCAAGTCCGAACTACCAAGGACGCAAGTCCGAAGTTTGCGTACTTGGAATTGAGAAACGACCAATATTGACCCGCGTTCTGTTTTCTATCATGGGACCGCAGCAAACGAGCTGTAGCCTCGCCTGACAAGATTGAGTGAACAAGGTCCAGGGAGCAGTTTTTCCGTGAGCGGGAATTGAAAACCCGGAGTGGATCATAAGCGAAGTGATAACAGAATGCTTAGAGTGGAGAGAGGAACGTGCTTTTGCTCCACTCCAGGCTTTATCACATCCCCCCTCAGCAGGGTGAATACGCATCATCTTTCCTTAATTTAAGACCTATTCAAACTAAAATTAAGACATTTATCACACTGTTTGCGAAATGAAAGCCTATTTACGGCCTTAAAATTATGAAAAGTTAATTTAAGACATAAGGACAGACGGGAACCCTGCAATTGACGGATATCCGTCATAGACTCGCTGCAATTAACGGAAATCCGTCGTAGCGACGGAGAACTTTAATCCCTGTGTTACTTACAATTTTATTATGAAATTCCAACAATACAGTTTTGGCGCTAGTAATGTGACGTCACGTGACAGATCGCTCCGTTCAAGCGGGTCGTTAATGGATCCTCTTCCTCTTTACTACTAGTTACAGCACCAAATAAACATGAAACATCAGAAGGTAGGGCTATGTTGAAAACTACAGTACCAATTTATCATGTCTCGTTATCGATAAATGTGTTTCAATCGTGAAAAGTCGTCAATAAAACACCTTGTAATGTAAACAATGTCACACAACTTTACATTTACCTCATAAGAGCCATTCAATGTCCATTAACTCGTTAGCTGCTAGTAAACTAGAAAAAATAACTCTAGAAAGGAGCATTTTGATAAACATATGCACTCTATTACATATTATTTTTAACTTAACCGGTTTATCAATAGTTTGAATACGTCATAAAAAAAATGATTAGCCATGTAAGTGTCGGTTTCAAAAAACGATAACAATATCAATAAAAAGTTATTATAAAGCTATTGTTATAAAAACTGACTTATGTGCAATTTAAATGTTTGTATACAAATCAGTTGTTAATTTCTAACCTTCAGCATTAATGTTAACCTGGCCCTAGCCAGATGAATTTCGCTCCGCCTAGCTTCACTCATCCACCTGGCTGGAACCGATCCATTGAAATGGCGTTTCAGAAGGCTGGGCCTTATCAAAAATCCTTGCATATGATTGGATAAGCCACTTGTCTGTCATCTTTATAGACGTGCTATTTCAACCACTCACACCGAAGCCAACCCGTGAAAAAAAAAAGCCTTAAGAGCCGTTCTCTGATGTTCTTTTAATGAAACAATATTAGGTAGATTGGACAACACGGATGAAATAGCAGCATCAATGTTAACGCTAGTTTCCTCGATGCGAGCCGCCATTGTTGTCTGAATCAAAACAGTCTCACGGTCGCTTCTCCACTACGTCACATCTATGAAACTCCCGCCCTGCGTCCTGATTGGCTAAACCATAAAGTTGGTTGGAGAAATCACTCTCAATGGAAGAGGTTCCAGATGGATGTGAGTGAAGCTAGGCGGAGCGAAATTCATCTGGCCAGGGCCAGGTTACATTAATGTACCAAGTGAGAGAGAAAAAATCCGTGAAAAAAAATGACATGTACTGTACTTGATATATATCCAGATAACAAATCAAGAATCGAATCGAATCGAATTGCAAGTTTGTGAATTGAAATCAAATCGTGAGATTTGTGTCCCAGTCCTAATTATTAACAACTTAAATTCGAGGTGTCACTCACACGAGACTTGAAATACAGCAATATAGTGGATGACTTTTATGGTGAAAGTAAGTCAAACAAGTTTGGAATGACATGAATTTTCCCTTTAATAGATTTAAAAGAAACCCCTGCACCTGTGTAAGATCCACCACTGTCTTTGATAAAATCCTCCACAATAAGCGGCAGGTTGGCAAATTCTGGAGAACGTACCAGCTCAAACACAGAGGGCTGTAAAAAAAACATCACATTGAATGAGCTATTCCTCCATAAATCCACAGTTTGTTGATTCACATGACATTATCACTCACCCCAGTCATGCTGTAGCCACTGAATATCCACTTGTGTTCCTCTGTAGCGCAGCAGAGAGCAGCTACGCCCTGTCCCACAGCACACACGGGCTCTGCAATCACACAGACGTCAACTAAACCCATCTCACAACTCTTGAGTATTTGAGATGCAAAGAGACACCCTCACTTTGCTGAGAAATGAAGTGGGACAGGATTCGTGCGAGGGACCCGCTGTGGGCGAGATCATTCAGGGCTCCCGGACAGTCGGGAATCAACAGCGCCTGATAGCGGGCACCTGAAACATCACACATCCTAATTATTATAAATGCACTTGTGCACTCAGATTTAAAAAAAAAATCTGACAGACATCAGACCATCGATAGACTCGAGTTTGGCCGGGTTGGCGTAGGGTTTGACGCTGAACTCTTGCACCCATCGGGCTGTGCTGTCATCCACGCCTGCAAAGTCGATTGTCTTCCCCTGTGAGACAAAAACTGTGACATCCAGCAAACTGAGGCTTATGTGGATGAATAAACATTAATGTGTAGATGTTGCAGTGTGTGTTTCCTCACGCCAGGTGTCGCTGTCTGCACGTTAAACACTGAACTGCACAAATTGAAACACTGATTGAACGATCGAGCTGAAACTCCTGCAGGGAAAACAATACACAGTTTAATGCTTTACATTCATAATAAACACAAAACAGTACAAAAGTACCAGGGTTTAAAGTTTAATTTAAAAATAGAAAAGTGCAATGATATTACCATCTTTTTCACTGGAATTTTACCACTTTTTGAATTGAATTAGAATAGAAAATTAGAAATAAACAATGCCCAAAATACTAGATCTTTCCTGAGCCAAAATAAAATAAAACAAATAGACAAAAATAAAACGCGTTTAAAATAATTTAATAGATAGAATGTATTTAAATAGCATGCAAATTGTATATTCTCGGGAAACGCTGGTGGCATTTTTGTAACTGTACACAAACTATGCATGTTAACGTTCATTTGACGTGATGTTTTGAGTCTCACCTGCAGATGCAGAACTGGCCACTATCAGACATGTAGGTTTAGATGTCATCATAGACGCTTTATATCGACTAATTTACAGTTTTCTCTGTTTTTAGAGATTGACCATTAACCAGCGATAGTGGCAATACTAACGTCAACAATAACCTACTAAAAACATGTATTCAAGTGTAATAAATCCATTGAAATTACAATAAAAACAGAAACTTAGATCATTTGATCAGCTGCTTGTTTCGATGGGTCCGTTGGTATTAAAGCTCCGGGTAAAACAGTTACTGGGTAAGTAGTTCCGACATGCACATTTTAAATCATTATTTTATTAATTATACAGAAAATCTACAAACACAGTGAACAGCTTAAATATTACTGCCAACTTATGCAAATAAATTAAATTGAATGTTTTATTAATTGAACAAATGTTACACACAAAGCATTTAGAAATTCATGTCATTTCAAGATTTCCGTAATCTTCTAATAAACATTACAAGCCATCTTAATGCTGATATTGTGCCGATAATTACTTCTGTAACTGGAAAGTATGTTTAATAATAATGGAAGGCATGTGTTGTCAGAAACAAAACAATCGTTATTATTCCACTGATTTATTTGTACTGCAAAATTCAAACTTTTAACAAACATTGCATCAATATTCTTTGCTTAAAACAAGACAATGTAAAGTTCCCTTTCCAGAACGACTGTCCTGCAGCCAAGACATATTGACCCGCCATCATAATCATGACACACAACACATTAAAACCACACAGTAACAGACAGCAATGAAGACAGCAGGAAGGTTTATTTGGTGTTGGTGGGAATAAAGTGTTTTTCTCTCAGTATATTTCTTCTTTCAAACTTCGATACAGGCAGCAGGTAAAAATCATCCCTACAATCTGGAACAAACAGAGAAGGTCAAAGGTTAATTAAATAAATAAATATGAGTAAAAATATTTGCTAGATTTATATTAGAGTTGTTCACCTGAATAAATGCAATCCCAAGACCCACTGAGCCCAAAATCAGCAGATGTTGAAGAATAAACTCCTCTAGTTTGGATATACATCCACCCTGAGAGACATAAAAAAAGAGTTTAAATGAGAGATCTCAGCAGGGTCTCAAAATTATGGAAGCATATGGGTAGCAATATTTAATTTGAAATGTGATATTGGTCATTGCTGCTACTGTTATTTATTGCTGCTGCTGTTGGTTATTGCTGCTGCTATTTATTGCTGCTACTGTGTTTGTTGCTGCTGCTATTTGTTATTGCTGCTACTGTTTTTTTATTGCTGCTACTGTTATTTATTGCTGCTGCTGCTATTGGTTATTGCTGCTACTGTTTTTTATTGCTGCTACTGTTATTTATTGCTGCTGCTGCTGTTGGTTATTGCTGCTGCTATTTATTGCTGCTACTGTTATTGTTGCTGCTGCTATTTGTTATTGCTGCTACTGTTTTTTTATTGCTGCTACTGTTATTTATTGCTGCTGCTGCTATTGGTTATTGCTGCTACTGTTTTTTATTGCTGCTACTGTTATTTATTGCTGCTGCTGCTGTTGGTTATTGCTGCTGCTATTTATTGCTGCTACTGTTATTGTTGCTGCTGCTATTTGTTATTGCTGCTACTGTTTTTTATTGCTGCTACTGTTATTGGTTATTGCTGCTACTGTTTTTTATTGCTGCTACTGTTATTTATTGCTGCTGCTGCTGTTGGTTATTGCTGCTGCTATTTATTGCTGCTACTGTTATTGTTGCTGCTGCTATTTGTTATTGCTGCTACTTTTTTTTTGCTGCTACTGTTATTTATTGCTGCTGCTGCTATTGGTTATTGCTGCTACTGTTTTTTATTGCTGCTACTGTTATTTATTGCTGCTGCTGCTGCTGTTGGTTATTGCTGCTACTGTTTTTTATTGCTGCTACTGTTATTTATTGCTGCTGCTGCTGTTGGTTATTGCTGCTGCTATTTATTGCTGCTACTGTTATTGTTGCTGCTGCTATTTGTTATTGCTGCTACTGTTTTTTTTGCTGCTACTGTTATTTATTGCTGCTGCTGCTATTGGTTATTGCTGCTACTGTTTTTTATTGCTGCTACTGTTATTTATTGCTGCTGCTGCTGTTGGTTATTGCTGCTACTGTTATTTATTGCTGCTGCTGCTGTTGGTTATTGCTGCTGCTATTTATTGCTGCTACTGTTATTGTTGCTGCTGCTATTTGTTATTGCTGCTACTGTTTTTTATTGCTGCTACTGTTATTTATTGCTGCTGCTGCTATTGGTTATTGCTGCTACTGTTATTTATTGCTGCTGCTATTGGTTATTGATGCTGCTGTTGGATATTGCTGCTGCTGCTATTGGTTATTGCTGCTACTGTTATTTATTGCTGCTGCTGCTGCTATTGGTTATTGCTGCTACTGTTATTGCTGCTGCTGGCTGCTATTGGTTATTGCTGTTACTGTTATTTATTGCTGCTGCTGCTGCTATTGGTTATTGCTGCTACTGTTATTTATTGCTGCTACTGTTATTGCTGCTGCTGCTATTAGTTATTGCTGCTACTGTTATTTATTGCTGCTGCTGCTGCTGCTATTGGTTATTGCTGCTACTGTTATATATTGCTGCTACTGTTGGTTATTGCTGCTACTGTTATTTATTGCTGCTGCTGCTGCTATTGGTTATTGTTGCTACTGTTATTATTGCTGCTACTGTTATTTATTGCTGCTGCTGTTGGTTACTGCTGCTACTGTTATTTATTGCTGCTGCTGCTGCTATTGGTTATTGCTGCTACTGTTATTTATTGCTGCTGCTATTCGTTATTGATGCTGCTGTTGGATATTGCTGCTGCTGCTATTTATTGCTGATACTGTTATTTATTGCTGCTGCTGTTATTGCTGCTGCTGCTGTTGGTTATTGCTGCTGCTGTTGGTTATTGCTGATACTGTTATTTATTGCTGCTACTTTTATTGTTGCTGCTGCTGTTGGTTATTGCTGCTGCTGTTGGTTATTGCTTCTACTGTTGGTTATTGTTGCTGCTGCTGTTGGTTATTGCTTCTACTGTTGGTTATTGTTGCTGCTGCTGTTGGTTATTGTTGCTGCTGCTGTTGGTTATTGTTGCTGCTGCTGTTGGTTATTGTTGCTGCTGCTGTTGGTTATTGCTTCTACTGTTGGTTATTGTTGCTGCTGCTGTTGGTTATTGCTGCTGTTATTGCTGTTGCTGCTGTTATTGCTGCTTCTGTTGGTTATTGCTGCCGCAGAGCAGATACAGGATTTGCTACTGCCAATACATACACAACACACTACTGTGTGAGGAAATAAGACATGCTGCTGCTGTACAATATAGCATACACGAATTACCCGTAGCAGATCTATACAGGTGGAGCTGGGGAAGATGGAGGGTTTCTGAACGCGTGCTGCAACTGCTACAGCAAACTCTGACCAGTATTTGAAAGTTGAGCAGCGAGCTCATTGGCTACTGATACAGCAGGAACCAATCAGCTGTGCCCCATAGAGAATGATGTGATTGCAAGCAGATTAAGTTAAGGGCCAATCAGCCTGCGCCATCTAGATTTTCATGACAGAACTTCGTATGTATCTCAATGTACCTCTACTTTGTAGATGTTGGATGGGTGGTCTCTGAGTCCACAGTGGTCTGTGGGGGTCTTACAGCAGCTGTCAGGCACCAGGCGTCTGTTAGCACCAGGCGTCTGTATCCAGGCCCCGTCCCTCCAGTCCGCTGAGCTGTTACTGCCACAACACTTCAGCTGCATCGTAAAACAGATGGAGAGGGAGGGGGCACGGGAACAAGAAAAGAGTTCATTCTACTTGTGACCGGTGGATCATTTTCCCATGGGCTTGTGGTGTCTGATGCTATGATGCATGAAACTCACATGCTCAGAGACTGAGAAATTGTGTTCAAAAGCCTTCATTGTCATGATGTTGTAAGACTATAAAGTTCAAAGCTGTTTAAAAGAGTTCATTCATTGTATTATTATAGTTAAGGAAAATTGTCACAGACCTTAAATGTGGGCTTGATAAGCCTTGTCTTAAAGTTTAAAACAGATTAGAAGTCTAAAAGTTTCTAAGGTGTTCTAGATGGTTGCCTGGTAGTTGCTCTGTGGTTGCTAAGGTGTTCTGGGAAGGTGTTATGACATGGCTAAGCAGCTGCTATACGCTGATTTCTAGCAGCAGTTATTTTGAAATTGAAAGCGAGGCTCCGGTGGGAAGTAAACCGAATGCGCGAATGCGATGGCGTATTGTTGTGTTTAATGTAGAAATTAGTTATTCTAAAACTGTACATTTCTTTCATACTTTAGACTATATACAGTGAAAATCATTTATAAATATATTTTTTTTATATATATATATATAATTCAATCAGAACGTAAAAAAAGAAGCAGGAACAAACTATATACATATTCTATATTGGATATTAACATCAAATAGTGTAAATCGCGGCGGCAGTAGCTTCGGGTTGGTAGTCCAAGGCATTGTTGTTTATCTGTACTTCCGGGGTTCTTCCCACCGGAGCCTCGCTTTCGATTTCAAAATGGCGGCTGCGTGAAATCAGCGTATAGAGTGCAACAGTGCTGTCCCCCTTTTTTTGCTTTAAACAATCTAATTAAAATAAAGAACAATATCTTATGCTACATGTATGTAGCATCTTCATTTGGATCATGATTAAAGTGCAGTGGCTTTCAAATGGCAACAGATATGTTTGTGTTTAAGGCCAGTTTGGCCTGTAATAGAGCAAATGAACAGTATGTCTCAGAATCAGCCCATTTGCTTGTAAAAAAAAAATCGGAAATCGGCCATAATAAATCATGATCGGTGCATCCCTAGTTTATAAGTTATTGTTAAAAATCAATTTCGCCATGGATAAAATGAATAGTTTTTACTTCAGGAAACTGTCTGTTGGGTGTCCACTGGGTGGTTGCTAGGGTCTAGTGGGACGGATAGACCGATAGATGACTGTCTTACGTCTTGCTGGAGTCTGTCGATGGCTCTAGTGATGTGCTCTTGTCCAGGCTGCTGGTAGTTTTCCACCATCCTCTCTTTCAGATCAGCTCTCAGCTCAGCGTTCAGCTGCAATCACAGAGAAATCCATCAGACCACAAGCTATATCTATAAAGCGTACTCTATATAGCAAAGTCTGTTTTCATAGACACAAAGTAAAGTCCCATATATCAAAGAAATCAAAATGATCTGTCATTATTTACTCACCCTCATGTCATTCCAAACTTCATGTTATTATTTTCCGGAATAATGTTAACACAGCCACGGAAAATATAACAGCATACTGGTTTGTATTGACATGAGGATGAGTAAGTTACAGTATTTTTTTTATTTCTGAATGAACTATTGAAGTAAAAATCAAACTAACTTCAGCTATAAATGAGTAACTTTTTTTTTTTGTCTACGTAATTGTTTACCTGGTAGCAGAGAGGAAAACACTGGAGCAAGAGGAAGAAAAGGAGGAAGAAGACAAAGGGTTTTATAAAGATGGAAAAGGAGGAAAGTGGATGGAAAGCATGCAAACATACAACACTCGGCATGTGTATGTGGGTTTAATGTGAATCTGAGGAGAATGGCATATTACATTCCTATGATATTCATGGCAATATTACAACCATGTTTATCAACTTGTTATTCGCATGCATACATAAAGATGTGGCTGAAAAACGGACAGAATAAGAGTTCTGTTTAACAGAATATGACACAATTCACCCAAATTGAATTAATAGAAATATAGCATTTATTCCTCATCCTAAATGTGAGTTTACCTCCTGATAATAGACGTAGGCCAAAATTCCAGCTGTGATCTCCAATAGGAAGATTATCAACAACAGGACGCAGAACTGTAGGGACAAAAATGGACAAAATGTTTCAATAATGAACAGATTTGGATGGATACCAGAGCCCAGTTTAGTCTGGATCAGAATTATCTGGATTTGGAAATCCCAGGTTTTGCTATCCAGGATCAGGTAATCCATCTTACTTTTGCGCTGATTCTTCAAAGCAAAATTGCATTGGATCACCCTGATCCAGATCCAGATTACCAAATCTGGAAATCCCCGTAGTGTTCACACGAGAAGCTTTGTTTTTGCTCTCACAAAGACCATTTGACTAATTCATCTCTTATGATCGTGCCAATGAAGTTTACAAACAGTGATCAAAAACCCTTTAAATTAAATATATGTTTGTTTGATTCACAGCTGATAGTGGATTATTTTATGGCGCCATATTTTATTTTTTACTTTACTGTAGGCTACCTAAAGGCTTAATTTAAAGCTGCAGTCGGCAAGTCTGGGTGATTGAGTGGACTTAGGCAAAATTTTGAATGTTTACAACTCTCGTGCCCCTCCCCCACAATCAACGGATACCCTCCCACCCAGTTCATGCTCGTCAGTGCGTGTGCACCAGCAGGTTATCTGTGAACGCGCCCGTCTCATCAGCATCCATCAACACCATGGAGTATTTGGAGGTATGCTGCCCTGGCTAATCTACCGATAGATTGCAATTGCTAACGTCATTTATACTCTAAATGAGCTTACTTGATTTGTTAGTGTTTTGAAAGCCGTAGCGAGATACATCCGCCATCATCACTCTTCGTTACTGCGCGAACTTCAGGCGTGTGTATGTGATTGTAACGTGCGCGAGGGGTGGCGTGTGCCCGATCTGTGATTGACAGTCAGATCTCACACCCCCCTGCGCTGATTGGACCCGATTATCCGGGAGCGGTGGATTTTTGCAAAACAAATAACACGCTCCAGGTGGAGTTAGAAGCTCGGGGTTTTTTCTAAAACCACTTTATTTATGTTGTTCTGTCGGATTATAGTGTCGATTTCACTGAATATGATCAAAAAAATGTTGCCGACGGCAGCTTTAACTTAAGACTACTTCTAATTTATTACTTGAACAGTTAAACTAATCAGGAGAAAAATAAAAAATAATGTGTGTATACATCACATGATACAAATGTTGTATTTTTGACCAGATTAAAAGTTTTATCACATTTTTGTTCCTGAAATCCACCTTTCTGCTAGGATCAGGATAATCCTGATTTTTTTTTTTTTTTTATAAAATGTATCCCGATTTTACTAAACAGTTTTGAGCAACACAAACTGATGATTTGATCCAAATCAAACCAAGATTGGATTTTTTTTTTTACAACCCATTTTCAAGATTTGATAGGCGAAATCCAGTCAGATTACTTTTGAACAACTCGGCCCAGGTTCGGTTGGATGGAAGTAAATAATAACAGAATTTAAATATGTGCATGATTGGTCTTTCAAGAACCTCGTCCACCAGCTGTTGAAAAAGTGAAGAAATGGCATCTGAGGAGTTTTACTGAGGAGTTTTAACAAAGGTCAAAAGCACTATTATTTTTTTCTCAGCCTGTAATTCTTCTGTGTTCCCTCTCTGTTTTCTGTCCTCCCCCAGCCAACCACTCTCATTTCATTCCTCTATTCTGGATTCACTCCCTTCTCATTCCTCTATACCCCCCCCCCCCCCCCCCCCCCCCCCCTCTCTCTGCTGCCCGTCATTCCTCAGCTGTGACTCAGTTTCTAAGTCTGACCTCTTAAAGATACACACGACACGTCTTTATTTAAATCAGATTTGATGACAGCTTTGAGACAACTAAGTCTAAATGACAACACACAATCAAGCTAATTTAGAAAGTTAGTACACGTTAGTGTGACTGCTTGTTTCCAGAATAATTCCTGGCCTTTGTGTGCAGGAATCCAAACGGTCTAAATCTGCCTACTATAATCCGATGTTTACATTACTCAAAATATTTCACTCAAAGTAAAGTCTGGCGGAGGTTTTTGTGCTGAATCTCGTCACAGGCTGAACAGAGATGATTCAGCTAACATTTTCCAGACGTTTTTATAGGCCCTACAAGCCACCTGCTTCCTTCCTATGTTAAAATGACCTGTTGACAAGCAACACTATTATCAGACTTTAGTTGTGTGTCCCATATATGACGCACTTTACACTATCCAGTACTTATGCTCTATGAAGTGTCCAACATCCCACACTTCGTTTCTGGTGCTGCTCGCGTTAATGACCATCATTCGTTGGTTACACTTTAATTTAAGGTGACGTAGTTACATACTCACTCAAATAAGTACTGGGTAATAATTAACTACATGTACTTACTATAGAGTTACGGTTATGGTTAGGGTTTGGTTTAGGGTTAGTTGTTATTATGCATAATTTACTGTTATAGTAAGTACGTGTTGTAACGTGTATCTCATGTCAGCTTAAAATAAAAGGTTACTTTTTTTAAATGAAATTAATACTCTATATTAGTTTGATGTTTTTTATGCAATGTTTTGTATTTTTAGGGAATTTTATGGTACTAAATTATATTTATGGAAGAGTCATTATCCATTTATTACCTTTTTTTGAGTATGGATCTGAAAATGAAATATCTAAACCTAGAATGCTTTGGAGCACACTCTTAATTTTGGTCTATTTTAAAGAAGACACTACAGATTATTGCTGAAGTGAAAAAAGTGAAACTAAAATAAGTTATAGAAGGCTAAGTTTATTATTATGAAAAAAGCATTAAACTTTGCATTACTTTTTGCATTGCTTAACATTTGCATTAAACAACTATTGTCAAATTTCTATGAAATATGTATTTTTCAAAACATGATTTACTTTAAAACTGTGAGAAAATTAAAGCCAGAAATCTAAACAAATTGTTTTCCAAATTTAAGGTTGATATCTCAAAAACGCTTCCACTAGATGAAATTCGCTTCCCGTCCGTTCCCAATGCGCACATTTTTGACCGCAAACAAGAGTCAGTATTTTTTCAGGACCATTAAACCTTTTTGAATCATGTCCATTATTTTCTTTTTTTGTGTGTTCACATAGCAAGTGCCAAAACCTTTACCAAGTTTCGTACCATCAAAGTAAAAAATAAAAAACGTAAAGTTTTCGGTCAAAAATGACTGAACAGCACCAGAGGAAAAAAGATTGACTATTTGTGTATTTATATGAAACGCATATTTCTACAACTGTGAGAAAATCAAAGCCATAAATCTAAACCAGTTGTTTTCTGTATTTGAGGTTGATATTTAAAAAAATTAGCTTTCAGTACGATTTTGTTTGGGCGCAGTACCAAACATGTCCACTAGATTTTTTTTCACATTTTGGGTCAAAAAATGACCGAACAGCACCAGAGGGTTAAGTGCATCATCCGAATATTTAAAGTATATTTTTTCTACCTGTAATTTTCAGTGTGAACACACCTACTACAAAACGGCGTAGAACAGTGCCGTATTCGTCATTCGGTGGCTCTGAATAGGCTTTATGCACAGCTGCACTACTTCCTGAACTTCAGCCAGCCCTTTGTTTCCTGTCTGTCATTATTGGACAAACTGATTAATCCAGGTGTGCCTGATTATTGTTACTGAGGCCAGGCACACCTGGATTAATCAGTTTGCGTTACCCATGATGCTCTCTCACCACTAAAAGAAGAGCTCTTTGTTCCCTGATGGTGGCGCAGCATCCTAGTATCCCGGTGAACATGACGACGGCACCCGCACCAATCAGGATGAAGGCAGCGATCATGTAGGAGCTGGAGGACAGAAGGCTGATGTAGTCGCTTTTATCCACCAGAGTCCATATTCCCACTGCCATCACAGCGCCACCTGCCAGCTGGGAGGACAGTTACAATTGTCTTTGCAGTAAATCTGGCCTATTTACGCGTTCAGATGTTATTTATTTTCTTTTTAATTTGCATTAAAATTGTTTGTGCTTAGAAAGGCAAACAGTTCTGAATTTCCACTACAAATACACGTTTAGCCTGCTAAGAAACGCATAATAAAAACATACCTCATAAACTCACCCAAAAGAGAAGATTGAAGATGAACAGAAGGTATTTAAGGCATATTGTCCCACAGCTATTGTTTTTTTCCTCTGCGTCTGCCATCCTGAAACAGTAAGAGATTTTACTAACCCTTTCAACTTGACGGGTCTGAGAAAAACCATGAATCCAGCTTAACATCCCCCGGTCTTTATCTGCTAAAGGACTAACCCTTCCTTACATGATAGGCAGAGTTCAGGGAATTATGGTTATTGGGTGAAGAACACATTTTCAGAGAATGTTTCATCTCAAAATCATAAGAAAGAAAATTTGATTAATAAAAATGAAGCAAAAAACACATTATTGACTATAATTTACAAAAAGAAACTGAAAAGAAAAATGACACAATGAGCTAAAAATGTATATACACTACTACAGTAAAATGATTTAATGTTTTTGAAAGTGTCTTCTGCTCACCAAGGCTGCATTTATTTGATAACAAACACAGTAAAATTTATGTAAAATAACTGTTTTCTATTTGAATATATATTTTAATGTAATTTATTCCTGTGATCATGTATTTTCAGCATCATTACTCCAGTCTTCAGTGTCACATGACCCTTCAGAAATCACTCTAATGTGATGATTTGCTGCTGCATACATTTTTATTATCAAGAAGAATTTATGATTATTATCAATGTTGCATAATATTACTGTGGAAACCATGATAGCTACTTTTTTCTTCTTCAGGATTCTTTGATGAATAGAAAGTTCAAAAGAACAGCATTTATTTGAAATAAAAAAGATTTGTAACATTATATAAATGTAACTTTTGATCAATTTTAATGCATCGCGGCTGAATATATAAAAATATTTTCTAAAAGCAAATATGCAATAGCCTATATACAAAATTGTATTTTTATTTTATTAGTGTATTCATATGACCTTGAATAGGTAGCAAATTATTGATCGTTTCTGAATACTTTCTCCATGGCGGAGTAAATAAATGTGTGCAGTAAAGTTCAGACGGATGAGGAGACGCTGGGTGTGGATCCTGGAAACTGAGCTCCACTAGTGACTCACAGAGAGAGGGAGAAACTTTTACTACTGTAACCTCACCCAGACACAGTGTGAGTAACACATACACGTGCCCCGTCCGGGAAACAGACCCAAAACTGAGGGTTGTTGTTACACCTGCCTGTTTCTGACATGCTGACAGGAAATAAATAGTGAATAATATGTAAACTGTATTATTTTATTTAGGTAATGAGGTGTTTTCGCTGATCCCTTTGTAATTGATCCATAAGTGCTAAAAAAAATTGTTGTAAACTAACATTTTTTAAATTTAAATATTTTCTTCCATGCTTAAACCTACAGTATATGTTATTTTATTACTTTTTTATTTTTAAACTGATTTTATTTTTTCACTTAATAAGATGTATATATTGGATATATATGTGTTTTAAAATATATATTTTTAATTTCTATATATATATATTCTTTTAAATGTTTAAACCTAAATATAATAGCAGCCACATAATTTTTAAACTGTTTCATTTTATTTATTTTTTATTTATCAGTGCTTAAACGTGCAGTATTATATAAATTTGTTTTGGCCAGCCAAATAATAAAAATTATAGTGTATTCAAGTTTTTTATGATTTTTTTTTTTTTTTTTTTTTTTGAACTCTTTGTAATTGATCCATAATTGCTAAAAACAATATAATAAGGATACAATAATAATATATATATTTTAAATTCTATATGTTCTTTGAATTACCCAGTACACTATAATATGGTAGTCAAATGTGTCTAAATAGAGAGTCTGGTCATATGCATAGATTATTAGGAGTTGTGTATTTTTCAAAGCATCATCTAAGTCTCATACTGATTTGTGTTCATGACTCCTGGTTCATTTTAAATCTGACACACCTCCTCACCATCTGAAGAATCTGAGGAATTTATTACAGATACTGTTACCTGCAACTGAAGGTGTATCAAAATACAAGAATATAATTATAAAGTGCATCTTTAAGTTTAACAATCATTATTTTTACGTTTCTAAAGCTTTTAAAGAAAAGCAAAAGTCTTCAATAGGACAAAGTCGAATAACAGTAGCCAACTTAGGTTAAAAATGCAGTTACAGAATATATAAATATATATAACTCTCATAAATCACGCCATAATACAAATACTTCCCATTTATGACCAAATGGTCATATTTCATGGTAAGATTTCAAAATAATAATAACAGTACTCGTGTTTAGAATAGCGCACTCACCTGAAGGACGTGTTTAAATAACTCTCCCTGCCTTAGATCTTGATTTTAAAACTATGTTTGAGAGTCCGCTTTTACTCCAGGTGTCCGTGTCCTTCTGTCCGTATCTGTTGCACTGCTCGCCTCGCGCGTGCGCAGAGAGTTCAGCCATACTGCGCACTGCAGTAATACCACAACACGCCAAGAGGGGGCGATACAGGACAAGTGACATTTATTGCTCCAGTCCCAAAAATAAGTACTTTATATATACAATATGTTCATAGAAAGCTGTTAATGTTCACATAACATTTCATTTTGTGTTCCCAAAAATGTTAATATGACATTTATTGCCCATACCCACAACATAATACTAACAATTATTATAAAAATACATACATATGCAGGCAACCGTTTTAAGAACTCTGTATAAAACAATTTTGTCTAACAGATTGCCAACTGGAGTGAGTAGTAATGTTCAAATAATCGTATCACTGTTCCCGATAGTGTTTTAAATCCTTTTACAGTTTCATATCTTGCTGAAAATGTTTTTTTTTACACATTCAGAGGTGGACGATGAATACGTTGTTTCGTAGATTCGCTGAGCGTCCAGTCACGTGACGTGATTAATATTCATGAGTCACGGCCTCGCTCCAACAGCCCACACAGCAGTGTTAACTAGTTTCTTGTAATTTGATGCAAAGGTGATATAATACTAAGTATTGTGTTATAAATGTACATACTTTTTAAAAATATATATTTTTTAAAATGAAAAATAAAAAAACCTCTGCGGGATTTACGATGCTGATGACCGGTATAAGTAACGCGTCATCACAGTCCGTGAAAAAGGTCCATTCCTGAAAGACTGAAGGAACTAAATCTGGATTAAAAGACTGAAGTTCTCTGAGTATTGTTGTATTATGTTATGACAATGACGATATTTGTTGTTAATGTTTTTTTCTTTCCCCGTTTCTTTTCTTCAAGCATTTAATAGAAAAAAAAAAAAAAAAAAAAAAAGTCCGGTTATTTGCAGCAGCGCCCTCTGTTGGCAGAGATGTCCAGTCGGAGCGCAGACTCACACTGCTTGTCCTGCTGTGAGGCAAGTAACCTGAGACACGCAGACAGAATTCAATTAAAATTATTATTATTATTATTATGCCGCTTTTGCAATAAAGTGATTTTATTGTATTTACTGTATTGGAAAAATACGTCACTTGTGATCAGATCATTTTAAATAGCGCTTTAATCCAGTTTCACACCTGGTTAGGTGGTTCATGGCCTCTTCCACCTGGTGTCCACTCTTAGCACTGCATTCATAGAACTCAGCCTGGTACTGCTGTCAACACAAACAACATCAAAACTCCTTATACACACAATGACTCAGGCAAGTGACTGAGATTAGTGGGAAATGATGAGCGGGATCGTTCCTCACCTCCGCCAGTCTGTGGCCTTGTGCACCAGTCACCTCTCTCCTGTCTGCGCTCGCCAGGTATGTCTTATTGCCTAGCAACATCAGACACGCCCCCTCAGACTGCTTTTCCTGCCAGTCACACACACACACAAACACACAGAGAATGATACACTGCTAATCCCATAAACCAATCACAGTAACACACACAGTCATCATAACCAGATTACATCACATGCTAAATACACTCTCTTTCCAATTTCTCAGTAAACCTTCAATCAAAGTCACACACTGACGTGTATGCAAAGCAGCACAAGCACACCTACTGCCATACTGTATTATACAACCAGCCTAGGCAAATCTTACCCCAGATTCAAATTTGTATTTGACCTATTTGTAGATGCTCAATATTGAGACAAGTAGAATATTCAATGAGAATACATCTAGCATACACTAATCAATCAGTCAATCTTGAATCTAGCTATCCTCACCAGCACCTGATCCAACCAATGGCGGACCGCCGTGAATGACGTCGCATGGGTGACATCATACATAGCGATGATCCCATCTGCCCGGCGGAAATATTGCTGTGTGACGCTGTGGAACCTGATGAAGGCCACAGGCAGGTGTTATTATCTACACACACACACACACACACTTTAAAGTAAAGCTTCTTCGCAGTATTTGTGCAACACAAACACAACTAGTTCAATGACCAATCAATAATATCCCCAAAGTAGCCCAGTGACTAAACTCCAAATATGCCACTCTAATACCTAAAATACCTTTATACAAGAATACATTTTACAGTCACTCCATGCTTTATTTATGGAGGTTCATTTCCACCACATAAAAAAAAAAAATCATGCTTTGGTAAATCTTAAGTATGAGATAAAAAAAGGCATAATTCCGACATAAAAAGTCAAATGAATACTAAATGAATTATGAATGAATGAATTATGAATGAGTAATAATTTTGACTTTTTGTCATCATCATGGCAGTTAAAATGTTGAGAAAGTCAAAATTATGACACGTTAAGACATAATTAGGAGATAAAAAGTTGACTTTTAAAGTCATAATTTTGACTTTGAATTTTTATTTCTTTTAATGTCATAACTGACTTGTCATAATTTGTCTTTTCATCTTATATTAATTACTTAGAATGTCATAATTTCGAATTTTCATCTCATAATTATGATTTTTTTCATATGTGGTGGAAATAGGCTTTCATAAACAATTTCAAGTTGAAAATCACTGTATAATATATAATATTAATTATAATATATATATACTATATGGTAGAATTAATATTATATATATTAAATAGTTGTACTAATCATAAACACAGTATGTTTTTCCACAAAGGAACTCACTGGAGCTCAATGGCAGAATATTAAATAATTCATTACGAATATTTCAGTCCAATTTCATTTATGCAAATAAACGCCAACCGTTAACCAGAGGGTTATTTTTTTATTTATATTTTCCAATAATAACTTGTGGTAACAGTTGGTAGAGGTTCAGCCCAGAAGCCCAATCTAACAAGAAACATTTTAGGAAGACTCATTTTGCATGGTAGCTTCTTTAAATCCCGGTATTGGTTCTGTAAAGCTATTTTTGGGACATCTGACCTCTCCTGTCCTGCGGTGTCCCACAGCTGCAGCGCGACTGGTGTGGAATCAAGCATTACACTCCTGACCTGAAAATCCACTCCTGTCAATCAAACACCACATGACTTGTCAGCGCATAAAAGGCATTAACATTAAGGCTCTGTTTACACCTGGTATAAAGATGTGTTTTGGTCGATCGGATCACAAGTAGACGAGGGAGACACATTCCCGTTTACACCAGGGGCCTCATTTATAAAACTGTGCGTAGGATCCTTACTAAAAGTGTACGTGCGCCCGAAAGCCAAAAATGGCGTACGCAAAAAAATATTCAGATTTATAAAACCGTGCGTACGCCAGAACCTGCGCAGAATTCACTTTATAAATCCCGATAAATCTCAGTCAGCGGAAGATTGTGCGCACACGCGTCTCCTCCCCGAAATAACCATATATGGAGCTTACAACGCCTAGTTTTACTATGCATATCCTCATCTGCATATCATTTGCATATGATTATTCATCCACGTGATAACATGTTTAACGGTACAAGACATTAGGAAAATATGAAATACGGATGTGCCGTCACATTACATTAATAAAAATCATAAGCCTATCCTTGCCTTGTTTTTGAAAAAATAAATAAAAATGTGTAAAATACATTTCAGAGAAAGTTTCTCAATCTCACTGGCCAAATAGTATTTTTAATTGATTATATTTTTAATGGAAACAGATAGACCTTGTGCATTATTTGCACGAAACTATTTTCTCAGACAATCTGCTATTATCATGATAAGCAATTATGTATGTAAAACATTAAAACACAGAATGCCAGAGGAAAAGTGTTCAAAAGCATTGCATCCACAACAAATATTTCTCTATTTATTGAATATAAAAAATGTTGTAACTTCTCAGTAATGATTTCATGTAGTTTAAGTGTTTAACTCCATTAATGGGAATGGCATATTTAATCTAAATGTTTATATCAAAAGTAAAACATAGTTTAAATCATTATTTTATTTATTTAAAGTGTCATTGCAATCATGCACTCTATTTATGATTATGACTCATAATAAAGATTTACGGTTTTCCTTCATCTGCCGTTAGATAGGCTATATAGGCCTATGCGTCAGTTTCACTAAACGGCCCAACGCGCTCGCTGCGCGGACATTTAAGAAGGCATGGATATTTGCTTCAAGTGATAGGCTTGCTGAGTGAAATTATATTTGTATTATCTTTCTGTATATGTATCATTTTCTTTCGATTTTCTGTCTAAAAGTGACCAAAAAGACATTTAACTCCAACTCACCATCTGTGTCGCCAATTCCCTTTGTCTCCAGAATGTGCGTACGCACGGTCAAGAGCATCCTTACGGTGCGCACTTATTTACGCCAAGTTTATTTTTTATAAATTCCGATATGTGCGTGGAAAAATGCGTACGCATATTTCTATGCCCATTTTGTGCGTACGCAACGTTTATACATCAGGCCCCTGGTGTTTAAATCTGTCTCTTTTGTCCACTTTCAACCACTTCTGTCCTGATTTCTTCGAGGGGAGGGTCTATGGGTGAGTAAATGTATGTTTTTCAGATCTTTCGATCTAATGGACAAAATAAGCTTGTGTAATTTACATATGAACATGACCAGAGACGACAGAAACACACAGAGAACATCAGCTTTAGTTTCTGCTCTGACAGACACAAGACCAGCCGAACGCTGTGAGTGTGTGTTAGAAATCAGGAATGGAGAGAGAACATTGTGCTTGGTATGTTTTTCATCTTTAAACCAAACTTGGGTCTTCAGCCGATAAAGTTTAAATCCCGTCTGGCTCGAGCTCTTCTCATAATGTTACTCATTAGATTAGTCTTTTGTGGCTGTTTGAACACATTCGATCACATGAGCGTTTACACTACGAAAGCAATCCGGTCTAATGTGTTTTCAACTACCTCTGGTCGGAAGTGTCGAAAGTGGACAAGTTCAAAACGTTTTAGACCCCGCTTACACCTGTATTTAGTGTCGTCTACTTGCGATCCGATCGACCAAACGCTTCTTATTACCAGGTGTAAACAGCGCCTAAGAGAAAGCATAATTAGGCATAATTCTCTCACCCACAGTTGAGGCCATGTTGTTGGGGAAGTGACCGCTGCAATACTGATGGATGAACGAGCTCTTTCCCACAGAAGAGTTTCCTAAAAACACCACCTTAAACACACGCTGCGGATCACTGGCCGCTCTCTGGAGGAGGAAGAAGAAGAACGCTTTTACTGGAAGGTCAATTGCCACATCAAGCAGATTAATATTTGATTTACTGTTAAGATCAAGAATGAATGAACTCCACATGGATTGTTGCATCTACTATCATGCAAATATCCGAGGCTCATTTGCACACTCACATACACAGAAATACGCAGTTGTGAAATCTTTTTTTTTTTTTTTACAGCAAAAACAAACGAGTACCGCAGATTTCTCTGATTGGCAGGTAGTTTCGTCTTCTCTCTGTTCAGCTTTAGAGAATCTCTTCGGACTTGAATCTGTTAGC